TAACTGTATTTGCAAATGTCGGCAGGCACGGTAACCGGACTAAATAGTGAATTTAAACATGACGCTAATAGCAAAATGAATTTCACTCACCTTTCCTCTAATCTATTAAACAGCCCTGTAAAAAAATAACAAAAATCTCTCGTTCAAAGCTATTGCAAATATTTCTCTTCACAGTGCAGAAATGGCTGACAGCAGACAGCGACAAGTTCAATATAACTGTTTGCCGTTTCCACAAACGTCATGATTAACCTCGTTAAAAAGATTGTAGCTGCATGACCAGGTCTGCGAGACCTAAGGTCAAGATATAATTTTTGATTATGGCTTTTTATTTTGATGGACTATTGATGAAGTGATATCCCAGGACAAAGGTGTTTTAGGTATTTAAACTGTCACGCATTTTGACGGATCCGTTTCGTTGGACAACTGACTTGACCCCTGTCGGTGATTTATTAGAATGGATTAACGGATGGCACGGATTAAATTAGATTTGATTATAAAACAAACATACAAGCTCGACACATTGGCATTTGCCAAAACACAGGTGATGTATTCTGGAAGATAGATGATGAACAATATGCCCGTGTCAAATTTGTTGCACAATCTTCATTTTCAAATGAAAAACCAGAGTCTGTTTTATGATGCAATGTCCAATAATGAAGATTGTGTGACAATTGTGACCTTAGAATGGGCTTTTCACCTATTGTTTTACGTCTATCGTCTATCGTTCAGAATCCAACGTCTGTGTTTTAGCATATGCTAAAGTATTTTCGTAAGCTAAACCCGACACAATTTTACTTGATTATTTTTGTGATGAACTTTTTTCTTTCTCTTTCATGTGCACCCTACTTGGAGATCCATTTCCCTCCATTCGCGAAGTAAGGGGGCACGTGGGAGCTGGTGGCATATTGGTTAAACTGAGCCTCATGAATTTTAATGGCCCAGGTTTGTTCATTCATGCCAGATGGCGTGTTACTGAACGAACGATCCACTTTTGTCGAATTTCTGTCGCCACACAAAAGAAACACTAAACAAATCACGAAGCGTAATTTAGATCAAACTATAAAGAAAAAAGGAGCGATGAGGTCGAAAATAAACAGTAGAATTTATGTGTGATTCACGTTCCCAAATTAAGTTAGTTGATGACAAATAATGAAGCACTTGCGCTGGGCGTGACCGTGACCGTGACGTGACATCATAGAAAGACTAGCCTCGCAAGAGAGTAGTTTTCACGTGAAAATTCTCATGTGAGGATCTTTTCTTTTGCTCTCCTGATAACTGTTAGGCACAATTACGTTGTTTGTTTTGCATAAGACTATCTGAGCCTCACTCACCCTCTTGTTGTTTTTACGTGGATATTCCTTCGAACTCAACGCTATGAGTATACTTTTACTCATAACAGACCTCTTTAGATTGTATGTTTTGTTTTCCTATTGTGCGTCATGTGATGATACTCTAGAGAACTCCTTTTTCTAATTTCGTCCAATTCACGTGATATGTACGCATAACTTACATAAGAAGAAAGGTGAAATTTCCATGAATCCTCCATCGCGAAAACAAATATGCAAGTTCCAAACCTTGAAAGGAAGACCAGTCGTGGGTGGAACCCACTATCGAGGCTGTAATATGCCACGTGGTTATTGCTCGAATTTATTTACTGAAAATGTTATTCATCTGTGCCACTGGGAGATGAAATGATTTTCGAAGATGTAGTCTGATCATCTTTTTTTCACTATTGTCTACGCCACCCATTTTTCGGAAATATACCGAAATTTAAAAATTCATATTAAATACTCAGAAAATGGTGATACGCAAGTAAGGAATTCTACATGCGTGAACGATTTGAAGTGTAGACATTTTTGAGTAAGTTTCTTTCATCTCCGTCGTCGCTTTGATGAGATTATTATTCAACAAAACTACGTCCTAACCAATCCTCAATTTAGCGGAATCTTTTACCTGAACATTTATTTATGTGAAAAGTGCCAAGAGGGCCGAAAGCCAACAGTGCCAAGAACAATTATGTGATTAAATCAGCCCTCTTATAAAGAGAGCCTAAGGTCCACTGATTGCGTAAAACCGTGGTTTAGGTTAGACTTTGTGTAAATAACCGACCCTTAAAAATTAGCGGAGGTTCTTAGGTATGAAGATGTCGGAAACGATTAACAATTCGGGATAAACTCCTAAATCGGTGAAGTTTTTATCAAAAGAAAATGGAAGAGTTATCTTAAATCTCTGACGCCCTAACATCATCATGCATATTCTCCATACTGTAATCTATACATTTCCTGAGGTGCAGATAAGGAGATTTTGTTCAACAATCAAGACCTTCCTAAGTTGTTGATCATTTCCTTTATTCTCATGACCTTAAAGCGTGATTCGGTAGTGATATTGTAAGGAGAAATTGGATGCTGGCCACTCTTGCGGAGCAAAGGGTTAATGATATCGAGATACCTTTCATCTGGAGGTTCCATGCAGCATCAAATGGATAGTTTCTCCAGCGGCTTCAGCACGGGATATGTAATTTCAGTTGGAAGTTTCACGCTTTGTTTCACCAGTCTGACGAAAAGCTAATACTAAAAGCAAGTTGAAGCCGGACATTGCCCAACACGTCATTCTGAAATTAGCGTCAGTGAATCGATAATGACAATTTCTGGTACACCTGACTAGAATTCTAACTCAGATCCATATAACCGACATTTGCTAAACGAAAGTGACGTGAAAAGAGTTGGAGCTGAGATAAACTAGGTTCAGTAACAAACTGTAGGACGGCGCTTTCTATTGTGTATAGAACCAGTCGAGTTTGTCTTAATAAATCACCACCAAATGCTTATATGTTCACGACGTTAAAGATACATACACACCTGGACGGTGACCTCACACTCTTAGCAACTATCTTTGAGTTTCCAGATAACTAGTTTGATGTCAGCTTCGAGACAGATTGTGAACCGCTCTTGAAATTTTAGGATGACCTTTGCTGCTGTATTGGTGTTAATAACAAGTAACTCAGGGCGTTATACAAAAACGATGCCAGATGCCAGGATATCAAGAGCTGCGGTGAGCCGCAGTTTCATGTTTCACTGTATTTTTAACACGTTTCCAACCGGACAAATGGAAAATGGGGAGCGGGTTGTCTTTAAGGTAATAACCTCCAACAGAGGAATTCCCTATGTTGGAGATTCTACATCTTCCGTTTCTCGTTATCTTTTCTCTAGGTTACGACCCGTTATCTGTTTACCAAGTTAATTTTCAGTCCACGTAGCTGGACAGTTTGAACATAAACGTGTCAAATAAACTGACAAGCGGAAAGGGAAATAGACTTCCGGTGGAGTTGGGAAGGATTCAATGATGCGGGAAAAAGCTTGCAAGAACAAAAACCTTATTCATTCGTCAGTCCTAGGGCTTCGATGTATGTTGGTTTTCACACAAATGAGCGCTTCCGATAAAGAAGTACGATACTTTTATTTTAGTAATTGCAGTTTTCAAGCTCTTAATGTTAGGGGACGGTCAGAGTTTTTGATGGCTTGGATCTCACAAGAACGGTCTGAACGTAATTATAAATAATCAACTAGCAACATTTCATGTGTCCACGTAATTTTGGATTCTACGAAAACCATCCACACTCATTGAAAATGTATTCACCACGTTGAAAATCGGCAGCAAAAATTCAACGGATGACAACTTTTAAACCCCCGTTACCATAACAACCGATTACGCCCTTCACCATGCATCTTTTATCGACTTTCAGTCAGCCGACGAAGTTTCGCCGAGACAAAGCGGCTTTATCTCGACAAAACTTCGTCGGCCGCCGCCGATGGCAGTCGCAAAGTCAAGGTTAAATTAGTCAAATTTCTTTTAACTCAAAGCTTTTGTGATTGAGACATAAACATGTTTTCCACCGAGTTTACGTAAACGAACTTCACTTTCCTTCTAGTCTTCAGCTGCACGAATACTGAAATGAACATAAGGCAGAGGGCATTGAGCTGATTGCAGCTATGTTCAGAGGGTCACGAGCTTGGTTCGGTTATTGTGTGATAATTTAATGTTTTCATGTAAGTCGCACCACCTATATGTTTATCTATTATTTCTATGTTTATTAAGTTTACCATATGAATAGTCGGCCATTTTTACTGTTTCCGGGGAATTGTAGAATTTGGTTTTGGTCATGCGCCTTATATTAGCCCTTCCTCAGAGCGATAGACGATAGACATCGCTCTGACGAGGGGCTTACGCTTGAACCGTCAGCTTTGAAACTCTTTACAATGGCCAATTGACGTTATCGACTCAGTTGATAGTAATAAATTACCCTAGTAATAGTGAGCCAGCCCATGATACCAAATTTTACTTAAGGAGGACTACTTCTACAAAGGCAATTCTCTGGGACACTAAAAACAACTCAAAACGTAGCTCCGTGTAACTCTGAAATCTGATCCTTGATAAGAACAAAAAAAAGGGAATTATGTGCTAAAAATTTACGCAAAGTTTATTATTCTCACCATTATTTTTGTGCGGTTTTCAATAATCTCACTGCCCCTAACAGTTACATGTAGAAATAAATTGGAAAACAAAATACGCCTTCGACCGTGTTTTCGGGGCCCAAAATCGCCTTTATGCTGTAAATAGTGTGCTAAGCCGAGAGCAAAAAAAAACCGCTACGTTCTCAAACTCATTGAGAAACCGGTAAGTGCGGAGGGCGGCCGCCTTAAATCTTTCCGTGTACGACAAAACAGTTTTTTGCACGCTAATTTTAAAAAGGCGTGATACCTGCGTCTGTAACTCACCGCTTACATCTTTATCTCGATGTCGGCTCTCTACAATCAACTTTGCTTTGACATTTTGTCTTGTTTTGAGCTCTTGAGACTGTTCTTCATTTATTGATGAGTTTTTAATAGAATGTGAGGGAATTACTGTTTTTCCCAGACTCGTATTTGCCACTGGTGTGGACTGATGAATTTTTTTCTGGTGATAAAGGACGCGGAGAGGTTTCTGAAGTTTATGTCGTTCTCTTAACTGTTCTCTGCGTTTGGTGATTTAAGATTCACTTGCTGCTCACTGCAAGTCTCATTTTGTTTACTGTTTTTTTGCGTTATTAAACTACCTGGAGGTGAAAATGGGAAAGCACGCAAACTCTCATTCATATTGATTGCTTCTCTTTCTAAATGTGGTATAGGTGTAGAATCTAAGTGGAAAGTATTTTGCTGACATAATGTTGGAAGTCCAGTAGAATTTTTGAGCTGATCGAGGTATCGTTGGCACGAACTGGATAGTTCCAATTGAGGTGTAAAGGAACACGTTGTTCCCCATGATCTGGCTTTGCAGCCTTCTACGTCTGAAGGAGGGTTACCAGGTAAGACTACACTGTCTGTTTTTCCGTTACTGATATCGAATAACGACGGTCTTGCAGGCTTTTTCAATCTGTTCTTAGCATGGTTTTGAGGCTGGAGATTAACGTAACGATTTCCTATTTCAGAGTTATCATTTGACAGTGTAACCGGATTCCCTGATCGAGTGCTAAGTAAGTTTTGCTTGTCTGTAGCTGGAAAGTTATTATAGGTCCTTGGTGTACGCTGTGGAATGAACGATGCTCGATTGGACTCAAGAAGTTGCAACAGAAGTCGCTCTTTGTCATAACTCGGGTGCGTCTTAGTACAACAGAGGCAGTTAGCGGTAAATGTGTCTCTGCCGGATGAATTCTCAGGCAAACAAGAGATTCTTGCTAATTCTGTGTCCGACTCTCTACTACTGCGTTTTGCAGTCTCGATTTGATGCCTCATCGGTAACATGAAATACTGATTCCTGGCGAACTTTGCCTCAGCATTCAGAAACTGTGGTATGTGAGCCACAACGTGTGGATCTGGTGCCTGCAATTCGGTCACTGGTGGGGCGAACCTCCCATTAGACCCCATCAAAGGAACCTGTTTCTCTGGTTTTGTACTTTTCGTTGCATAAGGAGAGAACTTCGGTTTGACAGGAACATGATAACCGCTGGTAGAGGAGCCTTCGGATGGCCTTGTGTGCTGGTTGCACTCACGCCCATTGTAAAATTTGGCAGATGAAAGCAAGTTGTGAAAATTGCCTGGTTTAGCGGAAGAAGGCGCCTCTCGGACTTTCCTTGTACTACCCGACGTGAATTCAGCTAAATTTTTATTAGAGAAACTTTCGGTCACTTGAGAAATGGCACTTCTCTCCAGATGGGGAAACGTGTGTTGGTCGCTTGGGGAATGGGTACCTATTCTTTTTTTGAAATTTGTCAAAATAATGCCCGTGTTCGATCTCTCTTCCTCGTGGGCTGATGACTTTGGTTTCTCAGTCAAAGGACTTGAAACAGTTTTTGTACCGTCAGTTCTTACTGTTCCGTTAAAGAACTCTTGTCCATGATTAAGACTGTAGCAATAGTGTTTAGATACAGCAGCCACACTTTTTGAAGGTAATTGGAGGTTTAAGCTTGACCTTTCCAACATATAAGGAGTTTGATGCATTGCTTTCTTATCCTTGTTTGCTTTGTCGTCATTAACAAAGTATGGACTCGGATCTGGTCTATTAACCTCAATACTGCCGTTAGGCATTATCCTTTGAGGTGTTGGGGTGAAGACTGAAGTGGATTTTACTAAACCAAGTTTTGGAGAAGAATTTGCATTTCCTAGCCCAGCGTCTTTTAATGGCGTACTTTTTCTTTCACCGTAACCAGGGATGGGAATGTCCAATACAAAAGAGCACTCAGAGTTTGACAAAGGAACTTGCTGTGAAGTGATGGAGGCAGTTCTTGGAGACTCAGTATGCAGACCACCCTTCCAGCATTCATGAGAAACACGGGGAAGGCTTTGAGGAAAGGATTTGATTTTAGGCGACCCATTGGAAGGACTCGATATCTCCTTTAATCCGTTGATTTTGGTGACCAAGACATTTTTCCTTTCATACCCCTGTTTGCTCTCTGCCTCCGAGCTCTTCAGGTCTTCGAACTGCTGATCGACTAACTTCTCCCTGTGCCTCTTGGGGGAACTTTCGTTACAAGTGTGCGATTTTATGTTCTGGTCAAGAAGAGAACATACTAATGTACTTCCATTCTGGGTAGAAACTTTAGCGGGAACTTGGTCTATTTCAGCATTACTGCAAAGCCGAGACTCCTTGAAGTCGTTGGGAACTTTAGAAAGTTTAGGTTCAGTTGTCACGTGAGACTGGTCTTGCATCTCTGTCGCAGTGTTTGGCACAATTTCATTTACGACTTGAGTGAGAAGGGGCACGGTATTCTGAATAGCTTTAGATACCATAACGGCTTTGGTTGAAGAAGTTGTAACTGTACAGTACCCTTGATTGGCTAGGGCCGTACTTTCAGGTGAATGTTGAACTTGATTTGTGCAAAATGTTGTTGAGAACGTTGGTGGATGAGTAAAAGAAGACGCCTTCTCTTCGCAGATGGATTTCATCGGGAAATTCAAAGCTGAACCATTCAAGGAGGTGGTGTGGATATTTGGTGTTCTTTTTGGGATTGGAGGGGATGTGGCATCATGTGATATCCCTGGATGAAGTCCACTAACAACAGTTTTAGGTGACTTACACCTCTGATGGAATGAACCGACTCCATCAGTAACAGGGGCCAGAGAATTGTAGATTGAAACATCGGTAGGCAACTCACGGGATTTAGATACATCCGTTTTACCGCAATTATTAGTGGGAGATGCAAGCATTACCTCTCCGGTTAATGTTTGTGGAGATCCAAGATTGTTTGGTAGAACGCGAGGTTTCATCTGTATCGAACTTGTCTGGACAGTGGTCGGAATTACCTGAAAAATCGTAAAATACCACGCACTGAATTACCGTTTGCAATTAATTCAAAAGCGACGTTGCATTCATAAATGTATTGATGAAAGGTCGCATTTAATTCCAATCGTTTTATCGTTGCTTTTTTGGAAAGGGAGGGAAGGAAAAACCAACAATGAAAATATGAAGCATTATTTAACCGTCAGAAAAACGGGTCATAAATGGTGATCAAACAAAAGTATTGACAAAATTCTAATGAAGGCAATACTACTGATACAGAATTTCCGACGCTCCACCCATAACCAATTAAAGCAGAGTGAGGTTCGGCTCATAATGCTAAATCGACCTGGGAAGTTATTTGCCACGTTGTGAAATTAGAGGCATCGTATGTAGGTGTCAATTCTTATTAAAATCACGTGTAAGGTATACTAGTAGTCAAACCTCTTGATTCCTCTGACGGGAAAGTACTTCTTTGAGCGCTCTGAACAAGACCACGACCCTATGCTTAAGTCGCTTGTTTTCAATTTCTAGTGCGGATATTTTATCCCGTAAAATATCAGCGTTGTCAGCTGCCTCCCTCGTGCGATCTTTAATCAGTTTCTTGATAACCTTATGAAGAAAGAAAAGAATGAAGTCGTTTAACACCTAACTTCTAAATTTTGTACATTTAAGTTAGAGAGGGCCAATTTGCAATGATATTGAATAAATGACTTACATTGCGCACGTTCTCTTCCGTGAGAGGACTTGGAAACACACCCTCGGGGGAATATTGTTCTGTGACTATCGGGTCGTCTGAAGAGTTTCCATTGCTTCTTTCTAAGGAAACATATTGTTGGATATTTTCAAAATGCTGAGTATATATTCGTAAAAATTCTCAACCTTGTATAGATTAAATTGGAGGCTTCCACAATGGAATTGAAATTGATGTTTGAAACCAAATATATCTTCAGGTAGTTTTCTTCACCTTGCGTGTTGTGCGCATGCACTATTTTCACTCTCCTCTTGGGAGCTCGCGCATTCTCCATTGGTTCCATCTTTGACAAAGTCAGGGCATTTTCCTGCTGCAGTGCGTTTGTGCTGTCACTCTCCTTTCTGTCCGCTGTTCTTGTGCGTTCGATGATATTTCCATTGCATTTGAAGAATTCAGGGTGAACACGCTTAAAGTTCCATGTGATTTTATCGTCGTTACGCGGCTTTTGGCAGGTAATTGCGTCCTCAACATTGGCCTCATCCACCAGCGGAGCAGCACCTTTTTCACTTGGACCTTTTAATCACATATTATGTGTTAGTGGACAATCAAATTGCAAGGAGATAAAAAAAACCAACAACGAAGACTACAATAAATGACAGGGATATAAAACCGCGACAAACTATCGCTAGCAAAGGTACGGCATGTTTTTATAGGGAGAGGTACATTCCAAAAACCATTTTATTTCATCTCCAACAAGAAATATTACACAAGAATTTACGAAACACCGTTCTTTTAGGTCGCTTAGAGAAACTGAAATGGTCAAAACCTCACGTCTTTTGAAAAAGTTAAAAATTCGACTCAGTAACACCTCAGTGTTCAGGTCACACAAGTTCAACGCGCGGTTCACGAAGAGCGGCTGATCTGTTTGGTGAAAAAAAAACTGAAAATTTTATACAAGAATGCCTTTATCTGAAGCTCCTTTTGATCGAACTCATTGCTGATGATTATAACAAAAAAAAGAATAACTAAAACGTCTGGCAGTCTGATATTTTTCCATATTTATCTTTGAAAAATACCAATCTCTATTGGATAATATTTTATCTTTATTTAGAATCCTCAAGTGCTTCTAGAAAGTGAAAAAAATTCTAACGTTGTCCTTTTCGCCGACCCCGCTGTACACTGTACGTGTCCAAGCGTGACACTTAAAAAAAATTTCTTCGGCTTCTACCGGACAAAACTCAAAATACCGTAAGAAAACTATAAAATGACGAACGGCGAATGTATTTACCGTAAAACAGACGACTATACGTCCAGGATGGCTCTCGAGAAAGACGATTTTAGAAGGTTTTCAGTAATCTGGGAATTTCGTGTTACAGGAAATTGGGTCGCGGCGCACGTTGCATCAAGGGTGAAAATGGGCCTTTAAGACACGCAGGAACGTTGACGCTACATAATGGTAACCGTTATAGGTAGAGGATTGGGGTGAAATATGATATCTGATTTTTACTCAAAGTAATGATATCATTATTAAAAAAAAAAAAACCTAAGACTGATGGTGTGGAAAAAAATGAAAGTACAGGAAGTCTCTCGGTTTGTTGAGTTTTCGTTCCGGACATCTTAAGGCTCAATATTTAGCTTCTTGATCTACTTTTCCCGTCTTTTGTTACCCTGTTTTATAATCTCTTGTCGTTAGTCAATGATTAAATGCCCATTGTGCACACCTTCGTACCGTTACCGATATTGAAAGGTGGTCGTTGAAGAGGTTAAATAAGAGAGATTGGCAATGAGTAGTTTTTTTCTATGACTCTATTATACAAACAGCGGCTGGCACCAGCTGGACGTTAAAGTGCTTATGAAACGAAATTTTTGGCCTAAATATTTAGCTTATCATTTGTACAAACCAATTCCGGTAGAAGAAAAAATTTCCAAAAACCTAAAACTCAATTTTTTCGGGCCCCAAAGTGCTCTTATTTTGTCTTAAAAGTGTCCCGTGGACTGGTAATGAATAAGCGGGTGATGACGTAGAAAACTGTGAAACTCTCAGTTGACACTTACAAATCTCTCACATCTCTTGTAATTTTGTATCAGTCAGCTTTGAAATACTCTTGAAATAATTTCCGATGGGGATGTATACCTACCTTCAGCAAGCTCTACCGAGAGTTCTGATACATCGTACTCTAGTAGAAAAGAAGAAATGGAAGTTGCCAGTACGGTTCAGCCCTACGAAGGAGAACCGCATGCATCAAACGAAGACTTCGAATAAGACTGACCATGACGGTTTCTCGCCTGCGGTGTTTAGGTCAAGATTAGAACAAACAACTCCCGTTACTGAAAGTGTTCAGCTTGTTGAGTTTGGGTTTTTTTTTTCTATGACGAAACACATGTTAAGAATGGGTAACTGTGTTCGTTTCCGTGTTGCCATAACATTTTCGTTCCTTCGAGTGCGGCGAAGGTTCCCCTTAGTCAGTGCTCTAGAGTTTCGTTACTGTAGAGTATTTCCCTTAGCAAACCGAAAGCTAACTTTTGACGAAAGGGTCAGCTGTATCACGATGTACGATGATTTTTCGCCGAGAAGTCATCGGGCAGTGCTGTCATCATAATGACTTTGCTATTGTTGCTACCTTTGGTTTCTTGAGGGCAAGGGGGAATTGATGGCTCGTGGGATGTATTTTCGGAAACCTAGGTTTAGGAGAATACACGGCCCCTTCGAGCTGGTGTTTATGCCAGTATCCGCTAGAGGTTTCGCACTGCTCACGCAACAGGATATCGGTAAGCTCAGGAAAGGGCTTAAACTTTATTACAAATGATGTATTTCTGTTATTAAAATACGATGGAAACTGAAATCGGTAGGATTTTCATGCAATAAGAAAAGCGCAAATTTAGTCAAGAGGAAAGAGATGAAGTATGAGTACATCTCAAGCACGTAAAATAAACAATAAGGAGCTCACCATTCTTCGCTTGCGAAATGTCAGCCGAAAAGAATGTTGAACGATCGTGTACCGTATGGGAACAGGCCCCTTAATCAGCATTCTTTTTAGCTGAATTCACTGACCATCCACCCCTGATTTGACTAATGGCATGTTTTCGTAACACCCGTCTTCGAAGCCGGTACGAACATGAGGCATACGACATTGAAGAGTAAAATTTCCTCGATGTCGAAGATCGAAACGCGACCATTTTGGCCATACAGCTACTTCCTTTGGAAAGTAGTGTATAGAAATCAGACCCGGTATGTTTATATTATTTTTGTACCTAACATCATTTGGCGCTTCGACCATGCAATGCGTTCGTCCTTTCTTCTAGATTTCTCCACCATAGTTGCCGACGTTTTCTACGTCACAGCTATGTAACTGATCGTTTTAGCCGCGCACCTGATGGGGACACTTTTTGGCCGCCAAATTACACTTTCAGTGCACAAAAAATGGCCGCTAGGCGCTAAAGTCGATTTGTTCTAATTTTAAATACAGCTATCAACCGGAATATGCAAAAAAAATTTGTGTTATAGGCACTTTAAAATAGTAAAATTATACATTAAAAGACATCTAGTACTTTCTTAATTTATCAGCATAAAAAAAAACAAACAAAAAAAACTTACCATAAGGTGCATCTCCAGGATCACTCAGCTTCCTGTCAATGATGGGAGATACAACAAAGTCAATTTCTTGGCACTTTACACCAAAGATTTTTTTTTCCCGAAGTGATGTCAGTTTTAATTTACCTATTTCGCCACAAAAAAAAAATGTTGAGCGTCCTAAAGACTCAATCGAACTCTTCATACCTTTATTATGCAAGTTGTTGCGTGTGTTTTAACAATAAGATCATCTCTCGGTGGTAATTTTTTTTAAAAGTTCTGTTCAAACAGAATAAAAGTTTGCTCACAATTCAATATTTATTCCGCCTCGAATTATTAGACAGATGAATTGACTACGCGTTAGAGAAGATCTCACACTAAAAAACATGAATAAGACTTTTGACGAGTTATCGTTCTCAGGTGGTGTGCATCTGTTTTACTATTTTTCATCCGCCCCAGCAATAATAACTTACCTTCGTTTTGGTCGCGTTTCTAAATCCTCCATCACTTAGTTCTGAAAAGAAAAGAAACCAGATTGCAGCGATTACAGGAAGATGTATCAGTAATTTTTTTTAACTTTTTTCCTTTTACAATTTTTACATTTAATATCTATTTGACAGCTGACAGTCTCCAATATATCCGATTGGTCAATTAGTTAAATGTACTTTTCGGATTCTAATTATCGTTCCAGCCAAAATACAGCCAATTTTCTTTATTTTAAAATATATGACACATTTTTATTTTTTTTTCTTTCAGGCACTTTGGCCCTGTTTTATACACCTCGAGTCTTTCTTACAGCTACGTTCGAGCTGAGGAAAGGATGCTCAATTCATTTCTTACGATCTATGACAAAAATCTACCATCTTTCCAAATTCGACGATCGTGTGTGACGCGGTCTAAAGTCATTATTATTCACTCAAAATTTGCATCAAGAAAACCTTGTTTTGCTATTAATAGTGTTGCCATTGCATGATCTCCTTTGATTATAAGTAATCCTCCAAAGATTCATGGCAGATTCAATTGTTCATAGAGTCGTTATTACCAGAAAGAACTTGAAACAATCGAATCTGAAAATTTTTGATCCTGCATACAAACACTCTGTACACAGTCTTAAAATGTTATTTGGTGCAAGATGCCCACATTCTCTTAACGGTGATCCGCAGACGCCCCTTTACTACGTTGAGATAAGAAAACTGGAGAGTTTGCACCTGGTTAGACTTGAACATCTACTATTGCGTCCATGGAGGTGACAAAAATAGCGAAATAAACCCTGATTTTTTTCCTCTGAATGCTTAAAACTTAAAATAAGCTTTGCGACATTTAATTAGTTTCTGCTGTTTGAAAAAAGGTAATGTTTTTCTTTTTTCCAAAAATAATTATAGTAGTATTGCGATAATCCTAAATAAACTAGACAGCTAGCATAAGGCAGTACAGTGCTAAAAAGATGGATCTAACCAGAAACTGGGCTGTATTCAAAACAATGATGACTTAATAAATGATAACTTAGGGTCAGCAAGACAAACTATGTGTTATGCCTGTAACTTAACACGGATATGATAGGTTGCTGTCACGTTGACTGACGGAGCCGCCCAGATCAACAAAGCCGTATTTACACCTGCAAGTTTTCTCTATCAAAAGCACCTGTCAGGGAAAATTTGACCTCTTTTACATTCGCAAATAACATTTGTAAAGAATACCTGCGGGAGTACAACTTCCCTTCAGCCCTTTTCAACTTCCTTGACAACTGTCTTTCTCGGGTGATCTTCAGATTTAAGGGTTCTTAGTTACAAATCGCCCTGCACAAAAACTTACACGTCCATTCAGGTAGGTATCTTGAAAACTTCTCATATTTTTTCCATCTACACTGCCTAATGGCTACTCTCACCTGGGCATCAGACTACACGATCAACTGTAAACAAATTGACTGCATAAATAGTTATACCTGCTTTATTCCTAAACTGTAATTGACGTATTTGAAAAACGTTTCTGCAAACTCAATA